GATAGTTACTGCTAAAATGTTTATTGATGTGCCACCTAAAGCTTTTGAAGATTTCGACCAAGGAGTTTATACATATATGTAATGCAATATGTCGAAGAATTTTGACGGAATTATTCTAGCCTATTAAAATATTAAATGTGATACATCTGAATATATATATGAAGATTCACCATATTGTCATTTTTATGTGCAAGCTAATTTCGTTATTTGGGACGCATCTAAAGGATGCAAATTAAGTATCAAAAAATTTTGCGTTATTTTTTTTTTCTTTTTTTAATTGTCTTTATTAAAGGTGAAAAAGTGATTCGACGATCTTTTAATGTCAAAATATTGCATACCTTATGATGTTTTTGAATGGAGAGATGATGAATTTTTTTATGCAATGATTTCTGATATTAGATAAATTATATCAATATGGTGAATGGTCTAATAAACAGAGGGGTGAAAGTCTTACAGATAACTGCATCGAATTTGAAGTTCTAGAGTAAGTTATCTATTAATCAGTAAGATATGATCATTGTTAAATTGTAAATAAGTATATTTAGATCCGAAGTGGGTGGATGAGGGTACAATCTTTATTGTTGGGAACAATTCAATATTACAGCGATAATCCTGCACCAAAGATGTTCCCTTTGATATTAGTGCACTTCTTAATTTTGGGATTAGTGGCGGCGCTCAGAGCTCAGATAATATATAGTTTGTCGATTGTGATATTATTGTTAAATAAAGAAATACTCTTGTGATAATTTGCTATCGTTATAGAATTTATATAATTTTAAAATTTATGTATTTTAAAAACAGCTTTTTGGCCAGAATTCAAGATTTTTTTAAATGCAATTGGCTTTTGAACTTTTAAAAAAAGCAACGAAAGTAAAATAATTAATTTAATTTTCAACTTTAAATAAAAATGTTTGGCATAAAAAATTCATATTTTTATTTAATACGATACCAGAAATAATAACAAATTGGTACCAAGAAACATAAAATAAATTAATACTCATAATCTAAAATTCTACCCCGAAAGTTGAAATTCGAATATTACAAATAAATATCTTCAAGCTTTTGCTAATTTAGATACTAGTATGATATTAATAGTTTTGCCAATTTAGAGTAACAACAAATTAGCAATTAGTATATCTCGTTATAAATAAACTCTCGATCTCGATATAGTAAAGTTTTTTTTCAAAACCAATTTATACGTAGTCGATTTGGCTTTAGTCGATAAAATCAACTTAGTCGGCTAAGTCAGTCGATTTTTTAAAAAATCGACTTAGTCGATTCAACTAAAGCTTGGTCATGTATATCTGATATAATAAAAGTTTTCATAACGATAAGATATCAAATTATATTTTAATAAAAAGTTTGCGATTTTTTTTAAAAAAAAAAATTTTATTACCATTAAAAAATTTTTATTAAAAATATAATATACATTTTAACATAAAAAAATTTTCGAATTTCTTATCAGTTATATAGGAGTTGTTAAGCGGATGACCTATTTTTTTTTTATAGAAAAAAAAAATAATCGCGTCATCGAAAATTGAACAAGAACGTTCACAATAAATAATAATTGTGGCCACGAAGAGCTTCCAGTTGCACTAATATTCATTTCGCAACAAAGGTTATTATAGGTTCTTGCCTACCCTAACTATCTTAGAAGTAATTAACTAGTTAGGTTACCATGAAAACAAATAATAATCCAATATTATCTTCTCTGAACTATATATGAAGAAACGAACGTTCGCAACAAGTGCTCACTTCGACAACAGGCGTAATAGCACTGTTTTTTCCGATAGCAGCTCCTCAGTGTCACAGCACCGGTGTGCTTTCAAATTTCTTCATAGCCAAGGCCGCAAAAATAAATACATACGATTCGGCAACTATTCAGTTATATTATTACCTTATTTTTAGTCGTCTTTGGGTATTTTTTAAAAAGTGTAAAAAGTAAAAAAAGAAGTGTAAAAAGTAAAAAATATAAAAAATACGAAGTGTAAAAAGAAAGAAGTATGTAAAAATGTAAAAAACAAAAGTGATTACAAATATTTGTTTTGATAATCATTCTTATCATTATGTCAAAATTGTCAAAATGATGTAATCATGTCTTAATCAGGATGATCTACAATATTTAAATTTTATTAAAACGATTTTATTGGGGCCCGTTAATAGTATTAGTAAATATTTTTTAGAGTATGTCTAAAAAGAAAACAACTTCAACGACGTCGCCTTCACCGATCTATATATTTCGAGGACATGCAGAACAAATTAATTGTTTAGAATTTATTGAAAATAATAGATATCTTATTTCAGGGTAAGAGAAATTTTCCTTTTTATTAAAAGATATTAAATATAATCGTGTTTTATTTTATTTTTTTTTATTCGACGAAGAAATTGACTAATACAAGTAATATATTTTTATGATCAATTTGTTTATCTTTTATAAGAGATGCGGAAAGAAATATTATCATATGGGATATGATATCGAGGCGTTCAAAAATTCAATTTAAAGCACATAAAGATGGAGTTTTGAAAGTTATAAAATGTAAAGAAAAATTGATTAGGTATGGTAAAATGTGATTTTTTTTTTTCTAAACATGTAAAAATTAATGTTTTTTTTTTCGTTAAGAGAATTCTTTAATTTATGTTAGCGAATTATGGTTTTTCATAAATTAGTTATGGTCGAGATAATACTTTACATGTTTGGGAATTTGATAAAATATCAAATGTTACGGATAATGGAAATAATGAATTGATAAAACCTGAAGTAAGTTTAACAGTGAATTCGTTAAATTTTTGTAAATTTGATCTTTATTATGAAGGTAGGATTGATTTTATTTATTTGAAGAATCTGTGCATTTGATAAAATTCGGTGTTTAATATGAGTTTCCGTATAGAAATTGGAGATAAATGTGAATTTTTAATAGCAGTCCCTAGTGCTAAAGACTCATCTGGTGTATGATTTTTTTTCTATCAATGTATTATGTTCTTTAGTTAAAATTTTCATTTAAAAACCAAAGTACATACACATATTTTTTTTAGATTGATGTATGGAATTTGACGAAACAAAAAGTAATTGCGACTTCAATTGGGCTAGATCAAAATGATAAAAATAATAAAACTGGTACCTCATTTTTTTAAAAAAAAGCTCCTTTCTGATTATAACGTGCACAATCAGATATATCATAATATTCTTATATTAAAAAAAAAAAAAAAAAAGGTTACTGCATGGCTTTAAAATTTTGTAATTTTTTGTATAGTTTATATAATACGAGTATAGATGAACTTCTTCTATTGCAAGTAACTTCAACTAACCTTCGAGTTCTATTATAGTGATTTAAAACAGATGATATCATTTAGGTAAGTATAGTATTATAGATATAATACAAAAGATTAGAGTTTTAACTTTTTATTATTTAATGTAAAAAAATTTTTTATATAAAATAATTTATTTATAAATTTTTTTATATAAAAAATAAAATATATATTTTTATTATAATTATATTATTAATTTTATTTTTTACAAAAATAAATTTACTTTTACTAGATGTATATTATAAAATTATTGATCTAGATACTAAAAGATACTTAATTTCAGAAAATATAACTTTTGAATTTTGAATTAAACAGATTTCTGTTGTTAGAGTTAATAATGAAATTCTTAGTAATATTTATAATTTCTTTTATTTTATTTAGCAGTTAATTATTACTAAAGCCTATGCTGTTGAAAAAAGAATTTAAAAGATAAAGAAATATCTAGTTTGATCTTAATTAATTGTTGTTGTTTGTTTTTTTACTAGTACTTATTTTCTTGCTAACATATATTTTATAAACATATGTATAGTGATAAACTATTAATGTTAAGTATATGAGTACAATTTAACAAATATTTGTAAAGAATAGTTTAGAAATATATAAATATCATAAAGTTGTAAAAATTAAAATATTTAAAAGAATAGAATCTTAGAGAATTAATACTTAGTTGTAAATAAATTAATAAAAAGAACTTGTAATATATAATAAAAAGTAGAAGATAAAGAAAACTTGAAAAAAAAATTAGAATTTATTAAAAATTTAAAAACCTATTTTAAATAAATAAAATAATAGTTTTTATGAATATGTGTATATATCTATTTATTTTTAGTTCTATATATTTAATAATTAATTTTTATACTTATATATTTAAGCTTTATAAATAGTTTATTTTAAAATATATTTATTAAATATTAAAAAAAAAATACTATATATGTATCTTTATATTATTAGTAGTATATATAAAATATATTAAATATTAAAAAAAAAATTTATTGTTAACTCTTCAAAAATAATTATATAATCATATATTCCGTAAATTTTTATAATTTTAGTAATTTTATAAAATATTAAGCTTTAAGCAACTTCTACAATTAGATTTTTCAAAAAGTAATATTTAATAAAAAAAAAATATAGAATTTTACTAAAATGCACCTATAGTGTTTTACACCTATACATACATTATCTCAAAAACTGATTAATTAATCAGTATGAAGTGTTCTAAGTAAAAATGTTTTAATTCTCTGAAAACCCTTTTCAAACTCTAATACTAATCTAAAAACTAACCCTAAGATAAAAAAAATTTAAGTTAAAAATTTTTATAATAAAACTTATAAAAACTTAGAAAATTTAAAAAATATAATAAAAACATATAATAGATGCAAAACAATAGATATGTTTTATAATAATTATTCTGATATCTCTTATATAGAGCTTTATTACTAAGCTACAGACTTTAATATTTTGTAATAACAGATCTAGAAGGTTGCTTTTAGTATTCAAATTAATTATAAATTATCAAACACTTTATTACAAAAAAATTAGCAAATTAATATAAACTAAAATTTACAAATTTCTAAAAACAAATTAAACAGAATCTATATTAAGCTCTTTAAAAAAGATTTTTTTAAATAATAATACAAAAAAAAATAAAATTTTACAGAACAATTTTATAGCTACATATATAATATATATAAAATCTAGTATTTTTATACAGCCTATAAGTAGAAAATATAAAATATCCAGAATTAGTACTATTAATAGCATAGTAAATAAACCTGAATTTAATTAATTAATATTGTGATTTAGCTAATTTATAAAAAAAAAATTTATTTTTTTTATATAGTATAAAGTATTTTATATTCTTATAATTTTTTGAAACTTATTAATTAAATCTGTTCTAAAAAGAAAGCTAATGAAAGATCTCAAAATTAATCAAAAATAATTATAATATTTAAGAAATTTTATTAGAAGCAAAATTTATAAGAGATTTAAGGTAATTAAGCCTGTAATTCAAGTACACAAAAGTATTTTAATATCAAAACTAAAAACAAACAATGCAAGACTAAGATCTAGTACTTTTTAGAAAACACCAAAGCAAATTAGAATAGTATTTATATAAAAAACAGTAAAAAAAATAAGTTAAATCGTTTTTATATATTTTAAATCTAATGTTATATATATTACAAATAACTTGTTATTTTATAAGTTATTTTAACTATTACTATTTAAAATACGATTTAAAAACGATTTAACAAAGTATATTTATTAAATAGATCAAGTAGAAATAATTAGAGGTTGGATCCTTTGAATATCCATCATGACTACTCAGCAAATATTCACGGGTTTTGATGTTCATGAATAGCATTGAACGAATATCCGGATTTTGAATGGATACCCGTTCTATATTTGTAACATGAATAGTCACGCAAATATTCAACGAATATAAATGAATCAATTATATAAATTACAAACCCTTGACTATCCGTGAATTTTGAGTAACCAAACATTGGATATTCAAAGAATATCCATTTCTAACCGTGAATATTCATGGATCCAACCTCTAGTCCACAATACTTGGTGAAATGGAAAGGACAACCGTTGTATGATGCGACCTGGGAACCCCTGAAGAATCTTGAAAAATACAAAGACTTGGTAAAAGATTTTGAAAAACATGGTGAAACTGTTTTTAATGGGGGAGAGTGTAAGGGAACTGTTGAACCACGTTGCACAATGCACGGTCGCACAACGAACGTGCTAGAAGTTCGTTCAACAATCGCATCGGAGATTCATAAAACGAATGTATATCACGTGAACATGATGTAAGGTCGGAATCGTAGTCATTAGAAAGCGTAACGACCATGTGTTCAAATTGTAGTCATAGTTCAGTAATTGTATTGTAAATTGCGATATAAAATGTGTAAAGAGAAAGAAAGCTAATTATGCTTTCGCTTGTAATCAATTCTTAAATAAAGAAATAAATCCATTGCTTCGTTTCATATATATAATTCGCCCTAAACCTATCTACCCTTAATAGATACGGTTACATCGCCTATAAAATAACTTATTTGTGAGACGGGTCACAAGTAGAATTGCCATTTCTCATTTTCTGGAATCATGCCACATTTATTCCTTCATTTTGTGGAGAATTCAAAAACCTTATCGCGTACAATGTATGTATTCATGAAAATAATAAAGTTTCTGAGTGTAATCGCTTGCGTAACGTAGGTGTTCGATCGACCTGATAACAGAGTAAACTAAACCAAATTCGAATAATAAACTCGTGGCGCATACATTTTGTTTAATCATAGCCTGCTTGCAGATTCAAATTTCCCACCGAAAATTTACATCGAGTGTTAAACTCAAAAATTTTATTCTCAACTCTCCTGCCTCAGAAACACTTATTATAAATGACTACCCAGGAGGATGCGCGTTGGAAATCCAGGCTTCCTTATTTTCAGAATAACGAAACATGGAGCCTGATAGATTTTTTACAGTGGAGCATAGTGTATGCGAAAGATTTCGGAAAAAAGGAAGAAGAACACAGGACGTATAAGATTTGTTTAGAACAACTTACTCAAAGTCCTCATTTATTAAAGTCTCATGGTAGCAAACCTGTCCAACGGTTGGCATCACTGTGTTTGAAATCACTCGAGGTTAGAGACTTACATTTACTGTTTTATTGTATGTGTTGTTTGTTTCAGGTCCATAGCACAGGCTAGGTTGCGTCCGAATATTTCTTAGTCGAGTCTAGGAAAGTGCCTTGCTATGGTCCTGTTACTAATTGCTTAAAGTGCTATGTCGAGTCTGAATCCCCGATCGTTGAGTCGAAAGTCCCAGGGTTGCGTCCCATTGGGTATTTCGGGTGCACTTTACTTTTGGTTGCGTCCAAAAGTGTTATAGCAACAATTTTTTTCTTTATACATATTAGAAAGAAAAGAATCTATCCGTAGTAGGAGCCTTTTGGAAAAACAAAGCCAGCGTTATGAAAACGCTAAAAAGAGCATCGACTCTGAATTCCCAAAATCTAATTAACCAAATGTTGGACTTACACCACGATTTCAGCGAAGCTCTATCCAATACTACGCGAGAAACCATAGAACCAGGTAATATAACCAAACCCGTTATACATAATATGTTGAATTACATAACAACCTTGCTTTATGATTCATAATAACAGCTTTGAAACGGAAGTCATCTCCCGATCCATCCGAAAGAAGAACAAAAAAAGTTGTAATTAATCCGAGGAACCAAACAGAATATGACAGTGATGTAAGCGATACTACATTAGAAGATTGGAATGAAGAAAAGCCTGAGGAATTTGATGCGCATACAGTTACTGCACCCACGATTGGCCTTTTTTATAAAGGACAGTCGTATTGGTCATCTTATGAAATGTCATTCCAAAAAATTGCCGAGGAAAGAAAATGGCACTTGTCTTCAGGAAGAAATGTGGAAGACGTCCTCTATGCGTACGCGTCGAAATTGGAATATGAGCAACCAGCACATTCTTTTATTATAGACACATCAGATAATAATATCAAAAATTTATTTACGAAAACCGAATGGGAGGAAGTTATAGGCACTAATAAGAAAACTGCACCAGCTATTGACAAGGTTCTTGTAGAGCATTTACTGAGTTACAAGAAAAAGTCCCCCTTAGAAATGCGAACACATATTATGAAACCCTGGTTAAACACAACATATAATAAAGAAGAACATTTTGACTTTCAATATATACATCAAGTTTTTTCTCATCTGCTGGACGAATATGAGTCATCGAAGAATCGATTGATGCAACCACATGCAGAGGGGTGGTATGCAATCAATGTTTGGAGCATATTGATTGATAAAACATTCTTAAACATTCCTGATATAGAACTTGTTCGTGGTGAGACGTGTAGCGTTGCATCAAGCAACCGAAAGAACGATGACGAGATGTACAGGATAAAGGGTCAGAGAAAGGCACTTGGACATCGTATTGATGGTATTTTTCAAAATACAGTCAACGACTATGAATATGGAGGAATTGAAGTCGCGAAAACGTGTCAAGGCCCACATGATAGGAAATATTTAGGCAACTCCTTGAAACTCACGAAACTCCTGAAAGATATATTCCATCAACAATCAAGTATTGTTGACTATGATGAAACGGTAGTTAAAAAAATAGAGATGGTTGGCTTGTTACATTCACGCCTTCAGTTGCAACAGTTCCTGATGGATTTCGGAGGTGGTTCGTGTTTGCGCCTCAGAAAAGAAACAACTAGAAATATTCCTCTGCATCTTGGTGACGTAATGGAGCTTATTAGCACAGTTATATCTATTCTTCAAGCAAAACTCCGAATCCAACGTTGTATTGGAGTGTTAAAAAACGAACCTGAGGATGAATTATTCTTACATGAAATTACCCAACCTTCTTCGCGTCCTTCTACTCCACCTAGAACTGTACACCTTGCCTGACTAGTAATTACACTAAAAAAAGAAAAAAGGACCAACGGGTAAAAACCGCATGATAAGTGTGATATCCTAGACTAATATAATGTTATATGAATATATACGATATGCTAATTTTTAATAAAACATTCCTACTTGCTATAATTTTCACACGTGAATCAAAAAATGTATGCAAATGATTTTTTACAATTTTTTCCTTGGCGCATTACAAATCGTAATTCTCATGATTATGCTGAAATTATACATGGGTGCCTAAATTGCCCATCTTAATAAAAAAGTAATTACGGCATTTAGGCAGCCGAAATTAGTCTTATATAGTGCTGAAATTAATTTTCATATTTGCCGAAATTATTGCTGAAATTTTTTGAACTCTTTTCATCAAAATACACCCTATAATATAGTTATTTCGAAGGGCTTCATATAAAAAATTTAGCAATGCCGAAATGTTTGCCGAAAATACGATTTTTCAAAAATAATTTAGGCACCCATGTATAGCTGAAATCCGGATGATCGTGAAATCTAAAAATCTTATTGGCTATCTACCTGAAATATTAAATGAAGCACTTAAAGATATTAATATTGGTGATATTGGTGATGATATCAAACAAACAATAATGATGAAGCAGCAAAAGTTATCGATAAAATTAATGAAGATCCTAAATTTGATGATTTACAAAAAGAAATTAACGAATTGAAAAATACTCGAAGACCAGCAAATTAATATAGTTGTAGTTTAAAATATTTTTTTTTTTTTTATATTTAGTTTAAAATATTTATTATATGTATTTTTTTTTATTTTTATAAAAAAACTTTATAAATAAAATATTTAGTTATTTTTTTTTTAAAAAAAAATAACTCTTCATTTACATTTAAAAAATTAGCAAAATAGATATAGTCAGTTATTCAACAACAACAAAACATAAATAGAAATATCAATTATTAAAATATAGTAGAAAAATTTCAAGTAAATCATCAACAGTTATTAAATGAAATAATCAAATTATGTAAAGATCTTGCTAATGCTAAAGAAAAAACAAAAGAAGCAAATAAATTATATTTTGAAGAAAAAAAAAATTAGAAAAAAAAAAAAAACTTCATGCTAATACAAAAAACAATTAAAGAAAACTGAAGAAGAATGTAAAAAACTTAAACAATAAACAAAAAAGAAAAAAAAAAGAATAAAGAACTTGAAGAAAAAACAAAAAACTAGAAAAAACTATTGATGAACTTAAACAAAATTATAAAATTTAAATCAATCAACTAAAACAACAAATTAAAGATAAAGATGAAGAGATTAAAAAATTAAAAAATGAATATGATAAGTATAAAGTAATATATGAAACTCAAAAAAAATTATTAAAAATTTAGAAAATAACAAAAAAGAATTAAATAAACTCTATAAATAAAGTAAAAAAAATAATGTGAATTATGAATCTATAAAATTCCATTTAAAAATTATTAAAAAAGATAAGGAAAAACTCAAAAAAGAACTAAAAAATAAAATAGAAGAAAAAGAAAAAAATTGATGATATAAATAGTAATGTTAAAGAAATTTTTAATATTGTTAAAAATTTATCACCTATGTTATTATGTAAGATAGTTAAAGAGATAAAAAAAAATAAACATAAAATAGTTGATATCAATAATCAAATAAAAAGATTATAACAAATAGCTAGATAATCAGTAAACTTTATTATTTTATTTAGTTTTTTATATATAAATTATTTACAAATAAAAATATATAAAAAAACTCTTTCCTGTTTACTTCTGATCAGGAAAGCAAAATAAAAAAATAAATATAAACTCATTCAAAAAAAACCAAAACCTAACTAATAAAATACTACTAAAGGCTATAGCCCTTATACCAAAGAAAAGAAAGCCCTTCTACTAATAGAACTTCTAGTTTCAAAAAATATCTTTAAAATACCAAAATTTGACAATGAAAAAGAAAAAGAAACAAGTAAATTGGTTATTAAAAAAAAAGATAAAACAAGCTCCAAAAAGAAGGAACTAGAACAAGTAAAAGAGAAAACTACTAAAAAGCAACTAGTTCTAGTAGTAGTAATTTAAAATAATGAAGACTAGTCAGAAAGCACTTCTCAAAGTGAAAGTAGTAACCAAGTATCAAAAAGAAATATGTTTAAAAAAACAGACAAAGTAAACAAAGAAAATGAAAACAATAACAAAAATAGTCACATGGCTAACATAGAAAATGAAATTAGTAACAATACAGAAAAATAAGTTGATCCTAAGGTTACATATAGCTATGCCTCAATTGCTAAACAAAATACTAACCTGTCTGCTAAATTGAAAAAGAAAAAATTGATATTTGTAGCCTTTTCTTCTAGAAACCAAATTAGATCTAAGAACAACAATGCCTTAATTATTGAAATTCCAAATCTATATAACTCTCTTAATAAAATTATAGCTTCTCTATATAAAGATATAAGAAGTAATATTATCACTGCCAAACAGTACTTTAAAAAAGGTCTCAGATCTCATCTAGAGATTGTCTTCCCTAATCAAGAATAATTAGAACACTATGCTACTAATAGAATTAAAATTTTCAATGAAGTTTACTATAAATATATTCCTACAGATGCTAGAAAATCTTTTCTCTCAGTAAAAGTTAGAAATATTATATTAGGAACTAAAGAACATATCTCAAACCTAGTTAAAGAAGTATTTGAAGACTTTGGAAAGATCTTTTCAATTAAACTATTACTGATTAAAAGTACTCCATATATAATAGATCAATAGATAATTATTTTTGATAATACAAATAACTCAGAATTAGAAACAAAACTCTTCCTGTAGATCATTTTGACCATTTCCAGAGCTAAAAAAAAACTCAGATTTGCTCAAGAATATCAATAAGAAACAGCCTAATAGTCATTAAGAAAAGAGAAAGAAAGCCTCAAAATACAAATACTTTAATAGAAAGAACAAGGAAAATATCAGAAACCAAAAGAACTTCAGAAGATGTTACTGTTGAAAACTACTACGAAAAACTTTTTTTTAAAAAAACTAGGAGATTTGGTCTTACTCTGAAATGCAAATCTATTTACATAATACAAATACATGGAAAACAGAAAAACAAACAAATGTGTCAACAAATACTAACAAGACATGCTACGTGACAACTAATAGAAAAGCAGTGCACAAGCTAAAGCCAGAAAATTTACAGGCAAGAAGGAAAAGTTACAGAGAATTTAGAAAAAAGTACAAGGTCTTAAAGTCAAGGATAGCACAAAAATAATAGAATAACAGATAACAATAGAAAAGAGATGTAGAATACA